AGAAAAAAAGATTTAAAAAAAGAAAAAGAAAAAAGAAAGAAGGAAGAAAAAAGCATGTTTCTGCAGTCAGCTGATATTGTGGGTTCTACTCAGGAGGGAATGACTAGGCTCAGCAGAGGAAAGCAAGCTCTTTTTCACCTTGGAGAAATTACATTCACATATGGGTTAGGTACATACCCACTCTTTGTTCAGATTGCAATAAACAAACAAACAAACAACTGATGTCAGATGCTGGTGACTCATGCCTATAATCCTAACCTACTGAGTAGCATGAGACCTGAGGAATATGGTTTGAAGTCAACCCAGGAAGGAAAATCTGAAGGCCAGAAGTAGAGCTGTGGCTCAAATGGGAAAATGCCAAGACCTTAGGGACAGCACTCAGGCCTTTAAGTTCAAGCCCTAGGAAAAGCAGGAGGGGGGGGGAGGGAGGGTGAGAAAGGGAGAGGAAGGGGGAGCAGACAGGCAGAGACAGAAAGGGGAAGGGAGGGAAAGGAGGAAGGGTGAGTAGATTGAAATTTGTTCAGAATTCTATATAACTAGACTTCCAAAAGAGCTTTTGAAAGTTAGAGGTCTGGAGTTGGGATCTGATGACAAAGCGCCTGCCTATATACTTTAAGACTAAAGTTGGGAAAAGAGGTCAGCTGTTAGTGGCTGATACCTATAATCCTAACTATTTAGGAAGCTGAGATCCGAGGATCACAGCTCAAAGGCAGCTCAGCAGGAAAGACAATGAGATTCTTATCTCCAATTAGCCATCAAAAGGCCAGTAGTGGAGCTGTGGCTTATGTGGGAGAAGGCTAGTCTTGAACAAAAAGAAATCTCAAGAGACAGTGTCCATCCTGTGTTCAAACCCCTGGACTGGCATGTGTGTGTGTGTGTGTGTGTGGAAAGTGTGAGGCCCTGAGTTCAAGACCCAGTACCAGCAAGGAAAAACCAGTTGGGAAAGGGAACAGGAGAGAAGGGGAAAAAAGCAGGAAAGGCGAGCTGGGGAGCCCCTACCCCTGGGGGATGCACCCTGAAAGGAGCAGTTCGCATTTCCAGGAAACCTGGTATCTCACAGCCACCCGCAGCCTGCACAGTGAAGCTCTTCTGCCAATTATAACGCACTCACAACCGTGGCTCCCTCACGCCCCGCCTTCTGCACTCTTCATACCCCACATGCATCAAATCTTAAGTTGGGCCTCCTGAAACCCAGCTCACTCGGCCTAGGGAAGGCTGGGCAAAAGGCAGTCAGCAGGCTCCAGCACCACCTGCCCCTCCCTCGTCCCCGCTCCTATCCCCCATGAGGGCACAATCAGGGCTGAGACCTCAGGAGTCCCCCTTGGTCCTCCAGGGTGTGAGGAGTCAGCAGGGACACACTCTCGATCCCCACCGAGGCCATCTGCACTCAATTATAAGCCCTTTGGAACCAGCAGAGGGCTGTTTTGCCCGCCCGTCGCGGTTTCTCTATGATTAGCTTGTTCTTGTTGTTTGAATATGGCACACGGTGCAGCCAGCTGCGAACAGCGTTCACAATTCAAAGCTTTCTTTCCTTCCAAAAAGAAAAGTGTGGAAAGAAAATAAAGTCTTACTTTCTGAATACTTCTATCTCTTCCCCAGATCAGGACCATTCTTTTGTCTGGAGTGTGTGTGTGTAACTCTGAAGGCACTGCTTGCTGTGTGTGTGTGTGTGTATGTATGTATATGTGTATGTATGTATGTGTGTGTTGTGTGTGTAACTCTGAAGGCACTGCTTGCTGTATGTACTTCAGACTTACAGGACATACGACATAAGCCAGGCATGGTGGTACACACCTGTAATCAAGCAATCAGGAGATTAAGGCAAGAGGATTGTGGGCTGGAGTACAGCCTGGATGGTATAGTGAGAACCTGTCTCATAAAACAAAACTAGCAAGATGGCATATCATTCCAGTCCTATATTACTATCATGCATTACTACTCATGGTCCTGTGGCCTCTGCTCACATTCTTAGTGGATGTAAGGATACCATATGTGAAGCATGATTTCAATAAAATCATTGCAGAGACAACTTCCAGTCTACTTGGGAGCAGAACTGATGCGGAAGCATCTTCTTTCCAGGTGCTGAGCCAGGAACAGAGCAAGACGACTACTTGATTCACAATTGCATCCTGTATGCTCTGCAGGCTAGTAGCAGTTTGCCATGTGTGGACTTGAAATCACGGTGCACATATGTGTACAGAGCCAGAGGAACTGAAGGTCTAGAAGCCTTGTGAACTGTGATCATTATTGTCAGATGAGCTACCATTCACAGAGGAAAAAAATATGAAACAAGAAGGTAAGTGCAATCATGGTCCCTTTGCCCCCCATTTCTCAAACTTATTTAGGCAAACTCACGTCTTTTTTCATAATGTAGACTGCATGATAAACAGCAGCACAAAGATGCCAATAGCCACAGGGCACATTTAAGGTTGGTGTGTGTGGGGGGGGGGGGTGTTCATATATGCATTACTGGGTTTTAATTCAGGGCCCTGTACTTGCTTGTCAGGCAAGCACTCTACCATTTAAGGCATGCCTCCAGCCCTTTTGCTTTATCATTCAGATAGGGTCTCACACTTTTGCCTGGGACATGCTTAGATTTCCATCTCCTACCTATGCTTCCTACATAACTGGGATTACTGATATGTGCCAACCTAGCCTAGAAAGTTCTTACTAGCATGGGTTTGGCTGGCTTATATTTACCATTTAAATCTTTTAAAATTTAAGATTCTATCTATGGAATGTTGAGAAAAGAGAAAGAAATACAAATGCTTAAATATTTTGTTAAGTGATGTTAAAACCCAACAGTTATCACTTTTTTCTTACAAGCAATTTTAAGCATATCCAAGTATAAAAAATACATACCAACTCTGGGTTATTTCACTGAGGATAAGGGAACCACTGTCTAAGAAGTTGTAAATTAGGAAAGAATAAAATTAGAAGGCCCCCTAGTTTTAGACTGTAGCTGAAGGTACTAGTGTGACTTCAAGTTTTCCAGTATGTAGATTCAGAAATAAACTCAGATGTTAACAAATGCAGACACTTGTGTGCCTGTGCAAATATTCCCAAGCTCTGATAACTGGGCCAGGTGAGTGGCACCACTACAGTAAGCATAACTGGCATTCCAATTTAGATTTCCACATAATTTCTCACTAAAAGAGGGTAGGTCTGCCAGGGTTGGCAGCACATATCTAATTCCAGCACTTAGAAAGCAAAGGTATCAAGTCATGAAGTATCATGACTTCAAGGCCAGCTTGGCTATATAGTGAGATCCTATCTCAAAAAACAAGTTAGTGTCTTAGCTTCTCAGGAGACTGAGATCTGAGGCTAGTGATTTGAAGCCAGTCTAGGAAGCAAAGTCTGTGAGACTATTATCTCCAATTAACCACCAAAAAGCTGGAAATAGAGCTGTGGCTCAAGTGGTAGAACACTAGCATTTTTAAGCTAAAACACTCAGGACAGTGCCCAGGCCCTGAGTTCAAGCCCCAGGACTGGCACAAAAAAGAGAGCTGGGGCTGTAGCTCAGTGGTAGAATACTTGCCTAGCATGCGCAAAGCCCTAGGGGGAAGGGGAACACAGGGCTGGCGTGGAGAAAAACAGCAGGTCTTTTTGTCAGAAAACACAGCAATGCCCAAGTAAAAGGGTGCCACCTTTAGAGGACACACAATCCAGCTTTGAGGCGTTTCCACTGGCAATATCAGATACCAAGTAGGCCTGGCAAGTGCAATGCCCTGAGTTTAAATCCCAGTGCCACCAAAAATAATAAATAAAAATAACAGCAACAGACTGTAACCGATTAAATAAAAAAGAAGCTATATCCACCCTGATATAAATACATGGTACTCTACAGGAAATGGCTGCCAAACACCATGTTTGACAAATCATTAAGTGTCAGTGATGGGGCAAATGATGGGGTGTGGTGCCGTGAGGATCCACAGGGCTTCTGTGTTGCACCTGCCAGAGACGTGTCACCTCATCTAAGCCTATCCAAACGTCATCCCTGCAAATGTCAAGGTCAAGAAAACCAAGAACAAACGAGGTTCTATTTCAGAATGAAGGACACTAGACCAAACAAGTAGAGGCAGCGGAAACTGAAATGCATCCTCCAGCCAGCAAGGATATGACTGGCGCATCTGGCAAAACCTCAATGGCTTTGTTGTAGGCAGCCATAATATATCAAGGATAAATTCCTTGTGTGTATGGTAGTTTTGTGGTTACACAGGATCTGGTCCTTTGTTTGGAGAAGTATACACAGAAAAAATAACCTGGGGTGGGTCCAGGGACAGTGACTAGTGCCTATCGTAACCCAGGCTACTCACAGTTACTGAGACTCTGACAACAAAACAGGCTAGGCGTACTGTGCATGCCTGTCATCTCAGCGAGGCACATGTAGGAGAAATGGATCCAAGGTTGGGCAAGAATTATACCCTATGCAAAAAAAAAAAAAAGGCTAAGGCTTAATGATGAGAGAGCCTGCCCAGCAAGTTCAAAGCACTAAGTTCAAACCCCAGCAAAGGGAGTCTGGGAATAACAGGCCAATTGGGCCGACAGCCTACTCACTCAAACAGTTCAGGTTAGCTATCTGTAATGTTAAAAAATCCATGTGAGGGCTGGGAAGGTGGCTCAGTGGTAGAGCGCTTGCCTTGCATGCATGAGGCCCTGAGTTCGATTCCTCAGCACCACATAAGCAGAAAAAAAAGCTGGAATCAGCACTGTGTCTCAAGTGGTAGAGCGCTAGCCTTGAGCTGAAGAGCTGAGGGACAGCACCCAGGCCCTGAGTTCAGGCCTCATGACCGGACCAAAAAAAAAAAAAAATCCATTTGAAAACACTTCAATGTTGGTGATTGTGGCTCACATCTGTAATCCTAGCTACTCTGGATGCCGTGTTGTTACTTTATATATTTGAACTAAATTAAATATTTTAATCAGTTTCTTAAAAGATCAGTGAATGAATGTACTTTTCTAGGTTGAATTAAAGTGAATATTTATATAAGATTTTTTTAAAAGTTTGGCTGGGGAAAAATAGCAGTTTTCCACAATCTGCCATCGAAAACGAAGATGACACACAGCAATGAGAAAGTGTTCCAATTTCTCACCAAGATTCACAAGCTGTGACGTGGATGCTTTACTTTCAAGAAAGTGCCAAAACAAACAGGCAGATCTGAAAGAATTTTCCAAGTGAAATAAATTAGAAGCAAAAATCATAATTAGAAAAAAAAAGTAGAAGTTAGGGACTCTGAATGCTGAGATTGAACAAAGTTTGGTTGACAGTGAAGTTCCCAGGGACAAGACCTGAAAACACACAAGCATCAGGTAACAGGGCACGACAGAGAGCTCATCCCTATGGCCATCCTTCCTGAGGGAGGAATCCTCAGAAATGGCCCAGGGGCACAAGGGCAATGCGTCCCACTCAATACCTCATCCAGTCTGACAAACTCTCATTTTTCTCCAGTAATGAAGAGGTGGACGTTCTTCTGGGACTGCAGCATCTGGGCTGCCCGCTCCACACCGACCACAGCTGCTAACCTCTGCGCATCGTACTTGGAGTAGAGGACAGTACAGGTCCACGTGGCCTCCTCTCCTCTGTTGGTGGCTCTCAGCATGTTACAGATTTCACTGTAGAAGTGAGGATATGTCGGCAGTTCGTAGAATATCAGGTTCCTGATGCCTTTTATGGTATACCTGTCAGAATGGAACAGAGATAGGCTATGTTTACCTGAGGAACAAGTCCCTGAAAAGCTACCCAAGATCTTTACAGGACCAGAGTTCACGCTCATGCCACAAGAGGAAAATAACATAATACACATCACACAAAGCAAAGGCTATCCTAATTAGAGCCAGAGGGTTTATACATACTTGAATTCCTAATGCTTGGCCGAAGATAATGAGAAAAGCTCACCTCTGTAATCCTGGCTACTCAGGAGGCTGAGATGTGAGGCTCCTGGTTCAGAGACAACCAAGTCAGAAAAGTCTGCAAGACTCTCATTTCCAATTAGACTTGGAAGTATGGCTCAAGTGGTAAGAGGGTCAGCAATGAGTGAAAAAAAGTTAAGTGAGAGCACAAAGTCCTGAGTTCAAGCTCCAGTACTGGCTGGAAGGCAGGTACACAAGCACACAGGTGCAACACGCACACCAAAATAAATGATAAAATAAACACATGTATATTTCTCAAACCTACTCTGCAAAGGCTGAGTAAAGAAGAAGGTAGCAGACAAAGATTAAAATCCTGACACAGGAAACTGGGCACTTACAACTTAATTTTATTATCAACATCATCAGGCTTTGAGATAGAATGTTCCGTAATGGAGATGAGGTCAGACCCAGCACATAAAACAAACAGCACAAATTGTTAAATGTACTCCCATTAGTCTTTTCTTGTCACTGTGCAGAAATGTTAACTCAGTGGCAGATGTCTCAAGTTCATCAAGATCCTGCCTGAGGTCCCATTAGGCATCAGGAGGAAGCAATTAAGTTTCCACAGCTTTCTGCACTTCCACCTCCTTCCCGGCTGTAGTGAGGTGGGGGGGGAGGGGGGGACCCTAGGGACTCACCGCATGTCTGCAGTCAAGGTCAGATGTTCCCTCAGGGACTTCGAAACAAAAGATTATATCGATAAGGTTCTGATCTTCTTTCTAGTAAAGTCAGTCTTTCCTACACCATCAGTGTTACCCTCTCAGGGAATTTCATTTCATTCAGTGGTTAACTTTTTCTTGTCTTTTTATCTCATGGCTCATCCAGATCTCCCTGGAGAACATCATCTTTCAAACTGCCATTGCAATTCACTCTATTGTTTACCTTTCCACACTGCCTTCCCATAAAGAAGGAATTCTATGCATGGAGACAGTCCTACTCTACTAGCTATCACAACAAACACTTGAGGCCAAATATGTACAAAACTGGAGAATAACACTCCGTGGCCAGCCACAGTGACACACACCAGTAATCTCAGCACTAGGAGGCTGAGACAGGAGGATCATGAGTGTGAGGCCAGCCTGGGCTACCTAGTGACACCCTGTCTCAAATAAGCAAAAGAAGAGAACACAATACTGCATCATCACAGGCAAACACCCCTACCCACTGTCGCCAGCATCACAGGCATACACGGTTATTGCATCCAGCTTCCTTCACTAAAGAGTTTCTCAGACTCTTCTACCTGAGTTGGCTAGGCACTGTGATCCTCCCAACCAATCTCCCAGTCTCAGCTCTCTGTATACTTTGGGATGATAGGCATGTACCACCGTGCCCAGCCTGGCTATGGATTGAGAGGGGGTCTTGCAAAGTCTTCTTTCCAGGCTGGCCTTGAACCTCAGTCTTTCAGTTTTCAGCCTCCAAAGTAGCATGAGCCATTGGTATTTGCCTTAATCTTTATATTCAATTTAATCCACACTCATAGTTCCCAAACTGATGCATGCTAAAACTGTTAAATCATTTTTCAGTATTTATTTGTAGCCACCATCCCTAGATATGGTAACCTAATTGACACTGAGATATGACCTGGGTTTTGGATAAAAGCTCCTCAGGGTGTTGTGTATAGTGGCTCACACATGGAACCCCAGCTACTGAGGAGACAAAAGTTTGGGAGGACTGTGGTTCAAGGCCAGCCAGGGCAAAATGTTAGCAATACCTCATTTCAATCCATTAAAAAAAAGTGGATGGGGTTCTAATAGCTACAAGAGAAACATACATAGGAGGATCAAGATATTCCTTGCTGACCAAAATGTAAGACCCTATTTCAAAATAACTAAAACAAAAAGGCTAGAGGCATGGTTCAAGTGGTAGAGCACCTGCCTAGCAAGCTCAAAGTACTAAATTCAATCCCTACTATCACCAAAACTAGACATTCTACAGAAAACTAGACTGGACCCTGGATTACTCTAGATCAGTTTCTTGACTTCAAAACTGGGACACTCTGGTGTGAGGCTGGCTGTCTTGAATACTGCCAGGGTTTAATGGTGTCTGTGGATCCAACTCATTACAGCAGCCACCAGAATAAATCTCAAGTTGTGACAATCCCAAACGTCTCCAGATAATGCCAAATGTCCTGCAGAGCAAACTGCCCTGGCTGAAACTGAGCTAGACTTCAACAGCAAAGAAATAAGTGGACCAGGCACAACAAATGATCCTTAACTGGATTCTAGATTAAGGGGAAAGCTGTATTTGGGAGATGGCTAATAGAATTCAAATACATACCATGGATAGAGGAGTCTGGTAGTAGCGCGTGGTGATTACCTAAGTTGTAGTTTTCAGAAGCTAAGATGCTGAAATATTCAGGGGTGAGGTATCTTGAAATTTCCAATGTAACATTTTTTGTCTGCCTGTGCTAGTAGCGGAGCGTGAACTTGGGGGCTAGGTGCTCTCCCTTAGCTTTTCTTTGCTCAAGGCTAGTACTCTCCCTTTTGAGCCAGTCTGCCTGTGCTAGTAGCGGAGCGTGAACTTGGGGGCTAGGTGCTCTCCCTTAGCTTTTCTTTGCTCAAGGCTAGTACTCTCCCTTTTGAGCCACCGCGCCATGTCTGGTTTTTTGGTGGCTAATTGGAGATGAGTCCCAGGGACTTTCCTGCTTGAGCTGGCTTCAAACCACCATCCTCAGATCTCAGCTTCCTGGGTAACTAGGATTATAGGTGTGAGCCACTGTGCCCAGCAACAACTCGTGTTATTTTAATATGGGTTTGAACTCAGGGCACTTTTTAAGTAGGTACTCTTAACAATTTGAGCCATGTCCTAGCTCATTATTTGCTTTATTTTTCGAGTAAGGTTACAAATTTTTGTCTGGAACTGGTCTCAAACGGCACCCCACCTACCTACGCCTCTTGCATGGCTGGGATGGCATGTGTGCACCACCTTACCTGACTTACTGAGATCTAGCTAACTTTTTGCCAGGACTGGAGACTAATCTCTGATCTCCATCTCCAGAGTAGCTGAGATTAAGGAAATGAGCCACCTTGCCCAGCCAGAATTTCTTTTTCAAGTAGCATATAAAACATTTGCCATAAGATATCAAGTAGGGGAAAAGCTCAACCCTAGCTGTCTGGGAAGCAGAGATAAGAGATCCCTATGTGAGGCCAGCCTAGGCAAAAACACAATCAAGATGAGCATAACGGTTCATACTTGTTATCCCAGCTGGGAGGGCTGTGAAGAAGGAACATCATGGTCTGAGGCTAACCTAGACATAAAAATACCTTTATCTTCGGCAAAAGACCTGAAAGTATGGCTGAAGTGGTAGTCCTGCCTAGTAAATACAAGACCCTCAGTTCAATCCCCAGACCCAAATACACATGCATGCATGCGCATACACACATACCAATTTTGGTGTTTTTTTTTGCGGGGGGGGGGGAGGGGGTCAGTCGTGGGGCTTGAACTCTAGGTCTGGGCACTGTCCCTCAGCTCTTCAGCTCAAGACTAGCGCTCTACCTCTTGAGCCACAGCACCACATCTGGCCTTTTCTGCTTACGTGGTGCTGAGGAATCAAACCCAGGGCCTCATTCATGGGAGGCAAGCACTCTACCACTGAGCCACCTTCCCAGCTGGTGTTTTTTTTTTTGGGGGGGGGGTCCAGTTGTGGGGCCTGAACTCTAGGCCTGGGTGCTGTCCCTCCACTCTTCAGCTCAAGGCTAGCGCTCTACCACTTGAGCCACAGCGCCACTTCCAGCTTTTTTTTTTCTTTCTGCTTATGTGGTGCTGGGGAATCGAACCCAGGGCCTCAGGCATGCAAGGGAAGCGCTCTGCCACTGAGCCACCTTCCCAGCCCCCTGGTGTTTTTTTTTAATTCATGGAAATTTGTGTCTACATGCACATGAATGTACACGTATTTTTCACATAGGAAAAAGACAAAAAAGTATACCAAACAATATTTACTCTGGGCAGTGAGATTACATTTTCATCTTTTTAACGTGCATTTTTCCAAATTCTCCATTATTATGCACTACCTTATACTCAGTAAAAATAAAATAAGACCATTACACTTTCTACTAAGAAAGTTAGAAGAGAGAAAAGGAAAGGAGGGATGGAAAAGGAAAAGAAGAGAAAGAGGAGGACAGAGAGAGGGAGAGGGAAAGAGGGAGGGAAAGAAGAAGAGGGGTGAGAGGAAGAAGGGAAGCGGGGGGAGGGAAAAGAACACAAATAAGCAATCTAGACCTTCAGTTCCCCATTTGGCCATAATGGAAACTAGGTATCTTCAGGAAAGAGACTATGACTAAGGCCTGTTCAGGGGGGCAGCCAGTGCTGATTCTATCTTGAGTCTCCTTCCCCTGCATTCCTTCCATCTGTCTTCCTCCTCTTTCATATATGCTTCAAGTCTCCAGTGACCCTTCATCACAGATATAACCACCCCTGTGACAAAACCTAAAACTAAAGACCATATGGAAATCTGAAGCTGTGCTTCATTCATTTGCAGCAAAAGAAATCCTCAGTGCTGGCATACGGCTCAGGTGGTGAAGTGTCTACCTAGCAAGTGCAAGGTCCTAAGTTCAAATCCCAATACTATGGGGGAGGGGGGGAGTTGTTTAAAAAGAAAACAAACAGGAAAACACCCATTAACTTGGTCCAGGGAATAAGGAAAAGCAAATGACATGCTGAGATTTGTCTTTATAGTAACTTTGAGGACAATATGATTTGTAAATAAACAGTGTAAGATAGGAGACTGTCTTGTCTTCAAAGGCTCCTTTGACAACAAGGTCTCTCTTTACAAAACTGCTGAAATATTTTAGAGCGATTCTCAGTCCAGCTTAATTCACACTTCCTACAGATAATCACACTGGGAAGTTCTTCAACCCATTCATGTCATTCAAAGGGCTTGCTTTCACTTGTCAAGCTAATGGAAGCCAAGAGCTTTTAACTATCCCCTAAAATTCAGATACGACAACTTACTAGAACTAAGCAAATAATGATGCATGGCAGTCATTAGGACCCTTGGTCCAAACAGCCTGGTTTGCCAAGGATGGAACTGGTGAGACATAAATTGAGTCCTTTCTCAACTTTCCATTCACATGAGCTGGTGAGCAGAATATCTAAGGAGGTAAGGTCATGCCAGCCCTCCTGTGCCCAAACAAGCTGCTGCGACTCATCCCTCATCTTCTTGGAAAACTGAACAAGGCTGCAGAGCACTATTTCACTAAAAGAGCAAACAAAAACACCGAGGCACATAATCTAATAGAAGACTTCTAACAATGTGCATGGGAGTCTCAGAGAAAATGCATTCCTCATTTGTATGTTAAACTGTAACTTGAGAAGTTAAATTCACCTGATATCTTTTTGAAATCAGAAAGGAAGAAAAAAAGAAGAATGCAGTTTTTATCTTGATAGGTAAAGGTAGAAAAACCACTTTTTCTATTTGGTAGCAGAAAAAGCCTTTGCAAAACAATAAATACAGCTCTGGGGCCAGGAAGGCTCCAAGTTTCCTCAACAGTAAGAAAGCTAGTATCTCTAGCCAGCTACTTGGAATTAAGAAAAAACAATTAACAAAAAGCCCAATCAACGTATCTGGTCAAAGTCTATGGGTGGGGAATCTTCATTACACAACTCTGAACATTCCTTTCCTCCGTCAAGCAGAGGAGACCCAGAGTCCTGGCTCCCAATAAGGTCACTGGTGCACACCAACTCAGAACCACTGCCACTTTCTGAATCCTGGCGCTGGACTGCCCAGACTACACATGCCTGTGTCTATGCTTGGATCAGGTCCTCCCCGACATACATTTTGTCACATCTACTGGGGCATAGCCACACTCCACATCTATTCACAGGTTATGCTTTGCCTTCTAGAATATTCTCAACAGCCGGGTGCTGGTGGCTCATGCCTGTAATCCTAGCTACTCAGGAGGCTGACATCTGAGGATCGTGGTTCAAAGCCAGCCAGTGCAGCAAAGTCCATGAGAGTATTATCTTCAGAAAACTAGAAGTGGTGCTGTGGCTCAAGTGGTAGAGTGCTAGCCTTGAGCTGAAGAGCTGAGGGACAGTGCCCAGGCACAGAGTTCAAACCCCCGACTGACAAAAAAAAAGAAAAAGAAAAAAAAAGAATATTCTCAACAAAGTCTATCTGGGAAGGAAATCACCAGTCAACCCAAGATACTCGCTGGGCACTGAGAAGAGTCTGTGCAGCCCTAACCCCCGTCTTCTCTGCCAGAGTAGCAGAGGATGTCAGGATGACTTGCCAGCACACCACACAACTTTCCTGGGTACAGAAGCAGGCTGTGACTCGCACTGCTTTGCCCCTTCAGAGAGAAGGCCAGAGCCAGGCACTATTTTACCTTTTGTAGAAATGAAAGCGTTCTGTCAGGAGTAGAAACTGCTTTTCTCCTTGAAGAAAGAAATGTCTGGCCCTGGAGACACCAGACTTCTGGGTGTATTCGCAGATGTGGGTGAAGTTCAGTTCCTCCTTCTTGAAGTAATTCCGGAGACGCACAAAGTCAAAGTAGGAAGGGACATAGATGAGTGTGTGGGACATGACGGCATCTCGGTACTGAGGCAAAATCTTACTTATGAAAAAGTTAAACCTGATTGAAAAGGCAAAGGACAGAGGTAATGATTTAGAGCAGAGTCTACATTGTCCACTAAGTGGACAAAATCACATTAAGAGATTACCTCCACTGAGATTAGTGTGACTTACCTCCTTTCATGGAGATTATATAGTGATAAGACTTGGTAAGTACATTAAAATCAACTGACAATACTATTCACTATAAAAAAAAATAATGGATACAATGCCATTGTATCCGAATAACTATTCTAGGAAGCATACTGATCATTTAGTCACTCGATTACTAATCCTGGAACATCTACCATTTGCTAAGAACTGTTAGGCTACCATCCTCTAAACACAATGAGGAAAGAATGGAAATAAATACAGAATTAGAAAATTAGTTCTGCCTAAAGAGCATATAATTAAGCTACTGATATGGACCATTCTGTGGCACAGAGTGATTCAATTTGATATAAAGGAGGAGCCCTGACTGATCATGCCAACCCTGTCACAAGGCAGCCACAAGAACCAGGCCAAATCACCACCTCTCTGGGCTTCCTAGGTCAAACAGCATGGCTGATTTCAATTACCTTATCTCATTTGGTAAACATAAATGAATCAAAGCGACTTCCAACACCAAAGCAAAATCTCCTTAAAGACCCCCCAAAGGGCCCAATGGGAGGTTGGTCACCTGGCATCAATCACTGAAGCGAGGTTTTCCGTTTCCATCCTCTGGAAGACATGGGGAAGCTGCACCAGCACATGGCTGATGGAGCCTGTCATCGGGACGTTCCGCACTGCCACCTGCCAAGAGTCCACAAGAACTTCAGGAGGCAAGCCACCCCATTGTGTCCTTTTCACTGCCAGGCATCCACCAACACTTCAGGAAGATCCAGAGGACATAGGAGGGAACCCACCTGGCCTTGAAAATTGATGCAGTGCTTGCTGAACAGTGAGTTGACCTGGGCATCCTGCAAGGCCCCAAACAGCAGTGTCTGACGATAGTATTTAGACCAATTATTGAGGCTCCACATTCGCACCCGAGAAAAGTCTACGCCATGGGAGTCCAAGGGCAGTAGGTTCATGTGATTCATCAGATGCTTGGAGTAAAAATAATACCTCGGTTAATGTGTATAGAGCATTTATGTGCTGGGAACCGCTAAGCATGTTACAAGACTGTCATCTGTTAACTCCATGGAGCTTGTACTAACATCTCCCAAATTATAGCAAAAAAACTGAGCTCCGATGGGCGGGCGAGTGACTTGCCTACTATAAGAGGAATACTCAAACAAGAAGCTGAAACTGGCCAGTTCCTAGACTTTTACAAAACAACAGAACACCACCAATTGGAATATTCCTGTTATAAGGAATTTCTAAAATGCTACCATGGCCACTTGATAGGCTCCTCAGCTATAGACTTGGACAGGAAAGAAATAAGATGGAAAACAGAGCTCTCCCTCAATGACCTGGTTCTCAAGAGCTCAGAACAACTAATCCATCTTTCCTCAAGTGAAGGAATATCACAATCATCAATGTGACTTTTAATTTACATTTTCATCAGGTAATATACACTGGAGGGTATTGAGCATTCAGTTTATTCCTTATTTTATTCCCTTCAAATATCCCAACTTTCTTCAAGCTCTAGATCCTGCTTGGGCATACATACAAAGGAAAGTAAATCAATATACAACACAGATAGCTGCATAACCCTGTTATTGCAGCTCCGTTTTTGACTAATCTGTGAAATCTGCCGAAGTGCTCAACTACCAATGAATAAAGAAAACTATGCACACATACATCATGGATTACTCAACCATAAAGAAAAATGAAATTACATCATTTGCAAGAAAATGGTACAATCTAGAAAACATCAAATATCTCATATTCTACTTCATTTGTAGAATTAAGATTTAAAATGATGATAATAACTTTAATAGAAATACAACACGATATACAAGTGCAACACACTGTCTGGAAGAGATCAGGGGGAACAAAGAGGGGGAAAGGATGGGATGCTGAGGGATGAAGAGAATCTACGGATGTAACGTATATATGTATGTGTGCATATATACATATATGTATCATAATGAACACACACACACACACACACATATATATATCATAATGAAACCCACCAAATGGTGTTAGAAAAAGAGGAGAGGAATGGGAATATGGTGGAGAGTGTGAATTTGTTCAAATTGTATTATGTGCATATATGGAATTCTTCCAGTGAAACCCCCTCATATTATAAATGTTAACTCAAAAAAATTAAACTTAAAAAAAATGACAATAAGTGAATGGAAAAGAAAAAAAGGCAGCTGCAGATCTTAGAGTACAGTAGAGGTGAATTCCCATCTACTTTAAAAAAATTAACCTTGTTCTATGGTCAGGAAATTTCAAGGAAGAGTATGTGGAGAATGAGCCAAACCTACAGCACACATATGTCAGGAGGATAAAAGCTGCTAAAAATCAAGATGGCACTCTTAAAACGTTTTAAGCCATCAGAAGAGAATTAGTATAGATTATATAATGAATTAATAGGTAAAGATGTTTCGTTTCTTTTTTTTTGTTGTTCTGTTTTGATCATGGGGCTTGAACTCAGGGCCTGAGCTCTTTTTTTTTTTTTTGGGTCCGGTCGTGGGGCCTGAACTCTGGGCCTGGGCGCTGTCCCTCAGCTCTTCAGCTCAAGGCTAGCACTCTACCACTTGAGCCACAGCACCACTCCCAGTTTTTTTCTTTTTGCTTATGTGGTGATGAGGAATCGAACCCAGGGCCTCAGGCATGCAAGGCAAGTGCTCTACCACTGAGCCATCTTCCCAGCCCCTAAAGATGTTTCTTGAGAGGATTTTTCTTCTCGCATCTCTCCTCTCTTGGCAAAGAAAGACTTTTAAGGAAATCTTTTTAAAATCTGGAAGCACTGACAAGAAGTTTTTCATTTCTTCATAGAAAAATTGACTAAGCAATGATTCCTTCTACTGTGGGCGGAAAAGACAAAATCAGAAAATGGTGGAGTATCTCTGTTTCCAAATTGAGTTGTATTCTGGACTTAATCCTTATAGACTGAAACCACTGAATTTCTCATCACTCTACATAAAGATAATATTCCTCTGGGCTGGGGGGGTGTGAATTCTAGGTTGCCCACGACTCTAGAGGTAGAATGCCAGCCTAATAAGCACAAAGCCCTTAGTTCAAAAATCCCAGTATCACTACAATAAAAACAAAACAAAAATTAGTGTCCCTCTAAATGTGAAAGACCCGCATTACCAGGACATGCTCCCAGTTCTGCATCAGGTAAATGTCAGCTTGATCAATGATGAGAAGCTCAATAGATGACAAAAAGTCAAAATCTCTTTTCTTCTCTCCTTCTCCACCAATGATGGTCCTTAAGCCAAGAGGGGAAGCAATGAGGATGTCGGAGGAGTAAAAAGGGGCATAGAGTCGGATGCTTCTCTGAAGAATTGCCACACCTAGAGAAAACACCAAGGACATATCGCCTCATTAGTCACCAGGAGGCCAGAACCTTCTCTCCTCTTAGCCTCCCACATCGGTGTTCCCCTTACATACAGCTGTGCTCAAAGCGCTTTAATACTAGTAACAACGATCTTTCCTTTGTATCCCTTGCTTCTCCAAACTCCTACTTTCTCTTCTATTCCTTCAAGTCAACATCTCCAGAGAATTTTCTCTACAGTCAAGCTTTTCATTCACTTTTCAGTCCATTGCTATGTGGTCTAAATGTCATGACTCCATTGAAATGACCTTTGCTAAGGTCACCACTAGCCCTCAGTTACCAACTTGATGGGCACTTTTTTTCAAGCAGTGTCAAGAATGCAGATACATCTTAAACACACCTGTTCTGAAATGCTCTTTCTTGATAATGGCCTCCAGGACTTCCACACTTACTGTTAATCACTGACCTGATCCTTATCTATCATTCAAGATCCAAATACTTCTTTTATATAGACATAGTTTTCTCTCTCTCTTTCGCTGGTCCTGTAGCTTGAACTCAGGGCTTGGGCGCTATCCTGGAGCTTCTCTGTGCTCAAGGCTAGCACTCTACCACTTCAGCCACAGTGCCACTTCTGGTTTTTTAAAGTACTTTATTGTAGATAAGGGTCTTTTCTTTCCAGGCTGACTTCAAATTGCAATCCTCAGATCTCAGCCTCATGAATAGCTACGATTATTAAGTGTGAGCCACCAGCATCAGTTCTGTCTTGAGTAATTCATTCATTGGCCATGGCTCACCCTGTGTGCCATCTTCTTCACAAAAAAATTTCTATTACCAGCCCACATCTCTTGCCTGAATATTAGGCAAATACACCAAAGTGCTTTAAGTAGTTCAGCCACACTGAAGCCTGTGTGAATTCTAATTTGTCTGGACACTGCCACCCATCTACCTCTGTGGTTTCCTGCCGGAAACTTTTCCCTATTCTGATTACCCTCCCTTGTAACTCACTAAACCCTGCTCAAGTTTCACTGAGTACAGACAGCAGTGATAGCAACACCAGGACCTTTCCCAGCCTCTTGTCATACACCTGTGTGCCACATGGGCCAAGACAAGACTCTTCTGGCTAAGGACATCTCCAATGTATACTGATTCTCTTTGGAAGCTGAGGCAGAGATCCAGTGGGGCAATGCCAATTTCTAAGCTTCCAAGCTCCAGCTCCAGCTCTACCTTGGGACTGAGTTTTGAACAAGAAGAAATTACCAATCCTGAAGTGGTCATCGATATTGCCCACAAACACAGCTTCATAGTCCTCAGGTCTCTTCAGGTTGGGTGGTCTCTCCTCAGGATCGGATCCGTATTCTCCCTGAAACCTTTTCTTATTGCTTACGATTATTTTCTTCTTGCTGTCGCCCTCAAGGAGGCTGATGAACAGCTGCACCACCCGCAAGGCAGCTTCCCGGAAAGGCACCACAATCAGCACCTGCGGAGAGGGCCATGGCAGTCTTGGTGTGGGTAAAGGGAAGGAAGTGGAACGCCAAAATCCTGGGCATGGGAGCAGACCCTGGCCAGGGACCATGTTTGTGTCACTACTTTTTTTTTTCCGGTTGTGGGGCTTGAACTCTGGGCCCTGGCACCGTCCCTCAGCTCTTCAGCTCAAGGCTAGCACTCTATCACTGGAGCCACAGCGCCACTTCCGGTTCTCTAGTAGTTAACTAGAGAAAGTCTCATGGACTTTCTTGCGCAGGCTGGCTTTGAATGGTGATTCTCAGATCTCAGCTGCCTGAGTAGCTAGGATTACAGATGTGAATTACTGAGGGTGAATCACTTCTGAAACAGACCATCATTCAATGGAAAAAACAGGATTGTTTTTCTCAAGTTTTTTTTTTTTTTTTTTTTGTACTGGTCCTGAGGCTTGAACACAGGGCCTGGGTGCTGTTCCTGAGGTTTTCTGCTCAAGGCTTGCCAATCTATTACTTGAGACACAGCTCTACATTGGGCTTTTTTTTTTTTTTTTTTTGGTTAATCATGGGGCTTAAGAATCTTATAGACTTTTCTACCTGGGCTGGCTTTGAACCACAATCCTACAGTGCCTGGCAGGCATTTTTTAAAGTTACTTTTTAGTTACTGGCAAGAACAAAGCCAAAAGATGGTTAAGAAATGGTTGACTTTTAACTATCTTATTGTTCACAATCCTATCAATGGACATAAACCCAGTTAAATCATGTCATTCACCATAATAAATGAGCTTCATGTATACTCTGCCTCTTATTTATCTATGAAATGCCACCAAATACAAACAGAAGACCTTGTAAATCTGATGCTTAAGACTCTGTAGTAGCTCCTTTGAAAAGCAATCAATCATCCAAAGGAATGATTCACTGAGGCATTACAATATTGGATGTCAAGATTTAAGAGAGCTGGATTACTATCCCAGCTCTAATATTAAATTACGGGGAGGGCTCTGTTCTCCCCAGCTAATCAACAAAGAGTTTGACTAAGTCTCTAAAAGCCACATCAATATTTAAATCCCAGAATCCTATTAAGCTCAATGAGAAAATCTAAAAGAAGAGTCTTTTCCAGTGTGGACTGATATAGACTAAGGCATCAGCTAACAAGTCTAGCTCCACAGCACCATGAAAAATGTGGACAGAGGCTTTTCTACCAAAGCCTCAAAGCCCATGTAGCAGTTTACATGATGAGAGAATCCTTGATTCTAGTTCAAAGTCTGCTAGTGCTACTCCCCTAGTAGGGCTGTCTGTGAATCTGGGTCTCTGCCCACAGGTATGATATACAGAGACTATAAAAAGTTACATTAAGGTCTGAAAATTGTAAGGAAGAGATCTGCAATGGGGTGCTCTTTATGGATGTTCTGAGTTTATGTTTAAAAGAGCATCCTGGGGAGGAATAGGCAACAAGGCTGAGATCTGAGGATCATGGTTTAAAGCCAGCCCCGGCAGAAAAGTCTGTGACTCTTATCTCCAATAAACCACTCAGAAAACCAAAAATGGCGTTGTTGCTCAAGTGGTAGAGCACTAGCCTTGAGCTGAAGAGCTGAGCAACAGTGCCCAGGCCGAGTTCAAGCCACACACCGACAAAAGAAAAAAGATATTGTATTCATAAACTGCTTTTTTAGATAGTAACTCCTTTGTACAATTACTTGAGAGAGAGAGGGAGAGGGAGAGAGGGAGAGAGAGAGAGAGAGAGAGAGAGAGAGAGAGACCTGAAGTATCTATTTAATTTGCACTGTCAGAAACTGCACTTCTCTGCTATTACACGGCCTACTCCAACTGCTTACTTTTGGGTCCTTTCCATTATTCCAGTCAATGATCACTCATGTGTGTGCCAAGGGCCAGCACTCTGTAGCCTCCTTCTTGAGGATAAAGCTTCCCTGCTGCCACTCACCTTGGGCCTTGTTAGCCCTTGGTCTCTGAAGTCATCATCATCGCCCACCCCAAGTTTCTGGCTTCGGCGTCTGCTGTTGTTGCCTAGCACCTGGGCATTAGCTTTGAGGACATGATTGATTGCATGCAAGCAGTACACGTGACGGATCTCTTCCCCGTTCTTCAGAGCCGTCCTCTCTGAGTAGAACAGGTCCCGGTAGGAATTCATAATTAAGAAGAGCTCTTTCTGGAGGGGGGTGAAGGAACCATTGGATTTTGGAGAGCCAGACAGGAACTGACTATTGGTCTTGGTCCAGGTGGATTCCAGAGGCTTTTGGAGATGAAGTGATTGTAAGTCAATATCCTTTGGAGGTTTAAATGTTTCCAACTTCTGAAACTTGGATGAAAAGACAAGCTGGCCCAGGATGGGCCACTAGGGAAGAGACAGATCAGGAGCTAAGTTACAAACGGGTAACATACCAACATGTACACAGTACTTTATAATGTGCCAAGAACTTCTATGATTTAAAGATCATCTCATTTAATCCTCTACAAACTGTGAAGTACATGTTATGATACTCTTAGTCCAGTATAGGAAGAGCTGAGTTCAAAGAAGTGCTAGAAATTAAATGCTTTTTAACTTATATACCGTAGAACAATTGAATATCAAACTTTAAACAAGTTTGATGCTTCCAAAAATGCAAAGAACTGTAAATAAAGAATGTAATTGAAAGTAATGCCTATAATACTATGTACTCAGGAAGCTGAGATTCGAAGAACTGTAGCTTGACCAGCCCATGTAGAAAAGTTGTCTAGACTCAATCTCCAATTAATGAGCAAAAAGCTGGGTGGAGGCATGGTTCAAGAGATAGAGTGAAAAAAAAAGATAGAGTGACAGCCTTGATCAAGCAAAACATGCAATTTTGAGGCCCTGAGTTCAAGCCTTTGTACTGAACAAAAAAAAGTAATTTATGTTTTTACATTTAAAAAATGGTGGGATCACCGGGGGCCGGTGGCTAACGCCTGTAATCCTACTCAGGAGGCTGAGATCTGAGGATCATGGTTCAAAGCCAACCCTGGCAGGAAAGTCCGTGAAACTCTTATCTCAAACCACCAGAAAACCAGATGCGGTGCTGTAGCTCAAGCTACAGCCTTGAGCTGAAGAGCTGAGGGACAGCACTCAGGCCCAGAGTTCAAGAAAAAGAAAAAGGTGGGATCCAGGGGCTGGGAAGGTAGCTCAGTAGTAGAGTGCTTGCCTTGCATGCATGAGGCCCTGGGTTCGATTCCTCAGCATCATATAAGCAGAAAAAGCCAGAAGTGGTGTTGTGGCTCAAGTGGTAGAGTGCTAGCTTTGAGCTGAAAAGCTGAGGGACAGCGCCCACGCCCTGAGTTCAGGCCCCATGACCAGCCCAAAAAAAAAAAAAAATGGTGGGATCCAGCTGAAGTTTACAAAGGAGTTAGAGAGCTTAAAACCCAAGGCTTGTGACTTTACATCCTGGTTTTTCATAGAAACCAGTCCTCCTTTTGTAGATTTACAATACACACTAAGTATTAAAAGTTATGATGAGTTACAGATCAAGCACACTGTCTGCTTTATTTATACCAGTTGTCCAAATTTATCTGGCCATGAAACAATTTCCTTTTAATTTTTTTCTTTTTTCTTATTTTTGAGACATACCAGTTAGAATCCCAAGAATAATTTTCAGGTTATGAGTTTGGGCAATTTTTCACTTTAGCAATAAAATTGCTGACCTAAAAGTAGATTAACTTTAGTAACAAAGAGAAATGAACTAGTGATAGCTGTAAAAAATCTATATAACCCTCCAGGGATTAAGGCCCAGTGAATAACCCATCTCAAAAAGTTCTTAGAGGGCTGGGAAGGTGGCTCAGTGGTAGATTGCTTGCCTTGCATGCAAGAAGCCCTGGGTTCGATCCCTCAGCACTACATAAGCAAAAAGAAAAAAGCCGGAAGTGGCATTGTGGCTCAAGTGGGAGAGCACTAGCCTTGAGCTGAAGAGCTGAGGGACAGCACCCAGGCCCAGAGTTCAGGCCCCACGACCGGACCACCCTCCCCCCCCAAAAAAAAAAAAACCTGTAAGATTCCATTTAGCTAACATTTTTTTGTTTTTTTGGCAGTCCTGGGGCTTGAACTCTGGGCCTAGGCACTGTCCCTGAGCTTCTTTTTGCTCAAGGCCAGTGCTCTACCACTTGAGTCACAGCACCACTTCCAGCTTTTTCTGGGTATGTGGTACTGAGGAATGGAACCCAGGACTTCATGCATGCAAGGCAAGCACTCTATCACTGAGCCACATTCCTAGCCCCTCACATTTTTTGATATAAATTTTTAGAAATAGAGACCAGATTAGTAGGTTACCAGGGGTTGGACATGGAAAGGTATGCAGAGGTGGATGTGGTCTTAAGAGGGAAATGGATCCATATGGAGCTGGCAGACACAGAGTCCTGAACATGATAAAATTGTACAGAACTAAATACATACTGTTGAATACAAACAAAACTAGAGAAATCTGGTACTGATGATATAGTAAAGTAGTAGAGCACAAGTCTCTAGATTCTATCCAAACACTGCCAAAAACAACAAAAAGGAAAAACAAAAACCAGAGAAGTCTGAAAAAGACAAGTAGATGGCATCAATGTCCATTTTATTATTGTGATATATTTCTGCTAGATGATACCATTGGGGGAAACTGAGTAAAGTGTACAAGAAATGCCTTTGGAAAACTTTTTTTTTTTTTTGGGTCCGGTCATGGGGCCTGAACTCTGTCTGGGCCTGGGCGCTGTCCCTCAGCTCTTCAGCTCAAGGCTAGCGCTCTACCACTTGAGCCACTGCTTATGTGGTGCTGAGGAACTGAACTCAGGGCCTCAAGCATGCAAGGCGAGCACTCTACCACTGAGCCACCTTCCCAGTCCTGGATAACTTCTTATACCTATGTATCTGTAATTAATACTGCAAGAAAAATGTCCATCAATAAGAGGATGACTAACCTGATAAGCAGTATCAGTGATGACAACAGAGAAGCAAATACTTCTCACTAATTGAACAATTTAGTTGTGAATCTATCTCAAATAGTTCAAGGAAATGAACAATCCAAAAACCTGAAATGCTCCATAATACAACTTTATTAGTTTCAGATTCTCTCTTTCTTTCCTCCTCTCCTCCCTCCTTCTGTCTCTCTCTCTGGCTAACCAAGCAACACTTACTTTTAGCTGGTGGGTAGTTTTGGGATTTGTGGCAACAGCCTCAACTTCTTTTTCTTTCAGTTCTTTGTTTATGTGTTGCAGAAATGGATCTAATTTAGAATACAGAGTGTCAGCACACAGTGCAAATGGCAGGGGATTCCTAGTCTTCCCCTATGAATGAATACGCTGTTCTTCAAGGAGTCAACACATCCTTCTTGCCATCCACTTTCCCCAGATTCTAGGCCAGTCCAAAGCTTCATTAAAGAAGATTCTAACAGGTTTGTCTACCTAAAGCATTTCCAATCACCCTATTTCCCAGCTTTCCTTTTGAAGACACTTCTCCACCTGGAGCTCAGGGCACTATATGTTGTAACTTCAACTTCCAACTACATGGTCCTCAAATTCTTCTGTCTCTCAAGCCTCTAACCAAAACTTCCAACTTCATTTTTACACATTCAATTAGTATGAATATAATGACTCCTTACAAATATTTCCCAGGGTGTATTCTGTCAGCTACCCTCATCATTCTTTGCTGAAGTTCCTATCCTCCCTTCCTCGCCTCTCCCAACACACACACACACACACGG